ATGTGCATTGGCCCTACAGTTACTGTGCAGGAACCCCTTTCAAGCCATAGCTTATACTATGCAGGCACATGGATTGCTTGCGCTGCATTAAGTAGCTTCTCATGCAGAACTTGCAGGTGTAATAGCATTGTTGAGATGTCCGTGTAGCAAAGACCGTCTTGAGTCCCTAAGCTCTGAAGCTCCGAGTTAATAATCTCTGAAGCACCCGACCAAGATCTGTCCAGCCGGTCTTACCCCGTCGCCCTGATTGCATGTTTAACTGCAGAAGACCTTTTCTATGCATTCGCCGTGCCTTTCTCCAGCCATGCCCCGAATTCGACGATCGCTTTTGGCTGGAAGTATAAGCCTTGCACATGTCGACCCTAGACCCTACACCCCGTGCTGCCATTGTGAGGCCCGTCCATGGCCTTTGCTGCTGGTGCTCTGACAGCATTAGGAAAGAGGATTCAATGTTCGGCATCAGAAGTTTCCCATAGTCTCTGTTTGTACTATTGCGAAAAATGTATATCTGCAAACCCGACGGTACTTCGCTCAGCACTACATAACAGGCATGGCTTTCAACATGGTTGTCGATCGGCATGTCGGTTTGGTAAAATTTAAGCGCGAACCAGAGTGCTCTCACTTGCATCTAGGGGCCGCTGGCAGACCCCAAACCCTAAACCCTAAATCCTTAAACCTAAACTTCTTGGCAGACCCAGGACAATTGAATTGTGAGTCATCCCGCTGAAAACCCTCACGATTGAGGGTTAAGCCCAACGTAGTTAGATTTAGGGTCTGGTCGTTAGGCTTCAGGCCCTGCCTCGTTTGTTCTGGGCAGTTCGGTTTCCACGGGTTTTTGGATGCATTCCTTCGCAGTTTTGTGGCGATGGACGCAGAAATGACCTCAGGCACATTTCTTGGAATCCGGAGCGACAGCAGCAAGCGTCGAAGATGAACGGAGAAGGGAAACCCTGCAAACCCTAACACCCAAAGCCTCCCTCACCCTGAACCCGAAAATGTTTTGTCCTAAGCCCTAAATTCCTAAGACCCCAAACCCTAAAACCCTATACACCCTAAACCCTAAAACCCTTAAAGCCTAAACCCTAAAACCCCTAAACCCTAAAACCCCAAAACCCTCAACTCCTCAACTCTAAACCAAAAACCTTAGAACCCTAAAACCTTAAAAACTCTACAACTCTAAACCAAAAGAGTTAGAACCCAGGCAGGGGCTGCTGCCTCACTCCCGGGAGCCCTAGCCGGTAAAATGCGCCGAGCCATGGCGGGAGCAGCCGTGTCTCGGCGAGGAGGCTTTGGGTTCCTTTAAAGGGACCTGTAAGGGTACCTTTAAGGGGTTCCTTTAAGGGATGTGTAGGGTTTTAGGGTTTAGGGTTTTAGGGTTTTGGGTTTTGGGGTTTTAGGGGTCTGAGGGCTTCAGGGTTCCTTTAAAGGGTTGCTATAAGGGTACTATAAGGGTTCTATAAAGGTGTTAGGCTTCAGGGTTCTTGTGTTCAGGAGGCTTTGGGGTTTTAGGGCTTTAGGGTTTTAGGGTCTTAGGGTTTTAGGGTCTGAGGGCTTTAGGGTTTAGGTTTTGGGGTTTAGGGTTTTAGGGTTTGAGGCTTACCATAGGGCCTGAATACCTATACCATGTGCGGGGCTCCTTATTATGATGAAAGTATAATTTAGAAGCTGCCCCCACCCTGTAATAGTGGTATAATAGGAGTATAATAAGGCCCTAATATAATATACATATAATCCTTATGGTCACTATTACAGGGTGGGGGCAGCTTCTAAAGTATAATCTACCCCACCCCAACACCCTGTTCGAATCATTAAGGCCCTTGTCTGATAAGAAGCCTACAGATTCTGGTTTGGAGTTCCACACATTTTCTCATATAGGAAGCTTACAGATTGGGGTCCATGTATTTCACGCACGTTTTGATATGTTCTGTCTTGTTTTTTTAGGTTATTGATTTGGGCGGGTAAGGTTTAAAGGACTAAGGATTTCGGGTTTTGATGTAGGGTTACGGGTTCCATTTGTGGAGGATCCCTTAGGGTTACACCTACACCCTAAACCCTGTTTAAGGAATACAGCTGCTAAGTATCCCAGACATCAATAAACTTGCTTTCCCAGACACCCACATATTGTAACAATGCCTAAACTTCAAACACTATGTTGTTTAAAAGTTGTAGTTTGACTGCTATCTAGTTTGAGCGGTGAGTGTTAATGTTTGGCACATTCTGCGGGTTTAGGTGACTTATGATGTATAACTTCGGTTTTTAGTTCTGAACCGCCAAGCCCTAAACCCTACATGGTCGTAGGTGCATGTTGTTCAAAGGGCGGCTCTCCCTGCGTGCGAGAGCTGGGGATTGGATGACTTTCTCATTTTGAGGCGATGGAAGTGAGAGTCGTCAGTTGTTCAAGGTTTCGGATAACTATAGGTTTATCTTGGACTCTAACCCTATAGACCTTAAACCACCCGGACGAAACCTTTCGAAGTGTGCCACAGAGAGGCTGGGTGCGACAGTGCAGCAGACTCGTAGTTAGGTGGCAGGAGTATGCAGAAGGACATGGACCAACCTATGAGCTTCAAAGGCATATGCAGAACTTCAATCTGCGGCCGTGAAGTTTCAGTGTATACCACGAATCCTCAACATTATCCTGTTCTTGGGTTACCTTATAGGATAGGATCCTAGTCATTTAATCTGTTAAACCCCAGAAGGAACTACAGTGGAGACTACGGGTCTGTTCGTTTCTTCGCATTGCAACAAGCCCACAGAGGCTCCACGTAGACTCGAATTTATGGAATTAGGGTTTAGGGTTTAGGGTTTAGGGTTAGGTTCCCAAAACCATAACTGGTATGGTCTTTTTTGGTACCTAATTCCATACTGGTAGGATATATATGGACCCTTTAAACAAGAAGCCCCTTCAATAAGGCTCCTACATTATAGCACCCTTATAGATCCCTTATACTAACCTTTATAGACCCTAGCATCCCTTGAAAGGAACCCTATTCTAATTACAGAAGCCGCCAAGACGATAGCTCCAAGGTCGCCTGCTTGGCTCCTCGCGCGCCATCGAGCACTCGCCGCGGTGTGCTGGTGGAGGTGCAACAATAGCGCCTAGGGCTCCTTTAAGGGATCTATAAGGGCTCCTGTAGGGTTTAGGGTTTAAGCTTCCTCTACGGGTTTTGCTTTCAGGGTTCCTTTACGGTTCAGGGTATGGGGTTTAGGGTGCGATCAGAACCCAGACCCATAAACCTATTCTAACTTTTCATGAAGACCCTTATGTTATGATTTTAATGTATTCTAGACGTACGTTAGCCCATGTCCTTCACGTGGCATGCTGTCGGTTGAGCCTCGTTGATGATTCGACTCAGAGACCTCCTTGGCCGAACGTCATCCATATAGGCGCAGTGGAGACGGCAGGATTCCATCGAGAGAATCAGGATCCATGTGGGGTTGTCAAAACTAGGGTCCCTGTTTTGGGTCCCTATAATACGGCACCTATTATTCAGAGTACCCCAAGAAGGGACCATAATTTTGACAACCACCCATGTACAAACCCAGCTCTTGCAAAGTTCTGCGTTGTGTAGCAGTATCCACATCTCAGCTCCCAGCTTGGGTCTGTCCCGAGGCTTGTACCGTTCCCACAGGGTCCAAAGTACCTATCTATATCTATATCAATATCTATATCTATCGGTGTGGATATATATATATATATATATATATAGTTGAATGTAGGATCTCCATACTGGGAATTACTATTATGATTTGGGTTTAGTAAGTATCCCCCATAACGGTACCTAGGACCCTTTGGGATTAGAATGTAGATGGGCACGTCTCCGACAAAGGGGTGGGTTTCCCAGTGAAGAGACCAGAGAATGCGCTGCTGGATGGGTGCTTTTGGCTGAGGGCTTCAAGGATAGAAAGCCATACACGGTGTGCTTCTCATGAACATGATCCAACCCCTCACCGCTCACATATCCTCACATACTAAGTCTCCATTGTACTTCCTTTTTTTGGTTAACCAAAATCCTAACCATAAAACTGGCTAGCCAAAAAAGGAACTACAATGGAGACAGTAGGTAGCATACAGAACTCACATATAGGAGACTCCAGAAAGTTGGAATATGGTTTCATGGTAGGATACCCTATAATTTACCATAGAAGGGGTAGGATAATCATATTCCAACTTTCTGGCTTTTACCCCTTATATGGTAACTTATAGGGTATCCTACCATGAAACCATATTCCAACTTTCAGGAGTTCCCTGTAATGTAATCTTCCACAACCCGATCAGCTCTTCGAGTTCAGGAAGACTAGGCCCCCAGGCCCAGAGCTTTAATGCCCGACACCCTTCAAGCCCCAATCTACCTAGAGGGTCATACCCTACCCCTTTTTTGGGATACCTAGTTTTATGGTTAGGTTCTCTTATATAGAAAAGTAGATACCTTAAAAAAGGGGTAGGGTATGACTCTATAGGTATACCCGAAGCCTACTTTGGATGGCCATGCCCGAACCCCTATAAACCCTAAACCCAAACCCTAACGCATACCCTGCACCCCAAACGCATACCCTAAACCCCTAGACCCCTAAACGCATACCCTAAACCCTAAACCCCTAAACCCCTAAGCCCTAAACTCTAATCCCTAAACCCTGAACCCCTAGACTAGAAGCTTCACTAGTCTAACCCTGCAAGTCATACTGTCATCCCAAGAGCCTGGCCTTGGATCATCGTGAGACTCGGCTGGGGTACATCCAAAATCTAGTCGGAATTATTCAGACCCCAATGAGCTAAACCCTAAAACTACCCGTATGCTAGATTTGCGATTGAAACTCGACTTCGCCTGACTGCACTAGAATAAGCAACCCTAAACCCTAAACCCTATATATACCATTAAGCAGCCCTACACAATAAGCAACCCTAAACCCTAAACCCTATATACCCCGAACCCATAAAGCAGCCCTACACTCAGAGCCTCGAGTGTCTCGGACCATGGTTCCGCTGCGTTTCACGGGCCATGCGCTTCTTCGTGAGGACCCTGGGTTTAGGGTTTAAAGTCTTGGGGTTCGGGGCTTTGGACGTAGATGAAGAGCCTACCTTTTTTTGGGTTCCCTACTTTGATTTTTTTACATATAAGTCCGTAAAAAATAAGTTATTCAGGGCCCAGGTAGACATTAAGATTGATGATTTTTCGGACTTTGGGCTTTTGGTTCGGGCTCGAGTACCTTTAGGGTTGATGACTTTCCTAAGGCCCTATCGTATATACTTGGGCGCTGCCGGGGATTTCTACATGTAGGCACTTTCAGGCCTAGCATGTCATCATTAGTACAGGTACATAGGGTGTGGGGGCTGGGTGATTTTTTCGGGGCCCGTGAAGCAAGGGGTTTCTGGGCATGCCAGGGTCCATCCCCCTTTATAATCTTAAGTTAGCAATATTATGCTTCGGTGCTGTTTTGGGCCCTATGGTTTACATCTTTCCTGGTGGATGTCGGGCCTCTAGTTGCGATGAAGGGTTTAGGGTTTAGGGAAGCGCTGTTGGCAAGGGCTCCAGTTTTAGTCTTGCGGGCAGTAGTTGTGGGGAGTTTCAAGTATAGAGCATGCAGTTTTAGTGGCTTTGCGTTTAGCAGTGCCGGGTTTGGGATTCATATCGACCTGGTCTGCTTTCAGTGATGCAGGTTTTCTGCTTCAGCTCTCAGAGGAGTCGTCCCAGACTCTTGATTCGGAAATCAGTTAAGGCGGTTCACTGCCCTCCACAAAACCGTTCACATGATGCAGATATGCCTTCTGACGCCATCCTAAACCCTCGGTATTTGATGGGATCCTGTACACTGCAGCGCCTGCTGCAGGAAGCATGTGCGGAGCTAGAAAACGACTAGGATGCCCAGTAGTACCCTTATTCCCTTTTTGTAGTCCTAGGTTCCTTATAAAGTTACCCAGTACCAAAAGAGAGGCCTTTTTATTCTTAGGTTACTGGGTATCCTAGTCTATCTATCGTCGCCATCGTAGTTCCTGTTTTTTTTGTTTTGCAAAGCTGGTTAAACCACGCAAGGAACAACTTACAATGGAGGAAAGATGCAAGCCTGCGAACCCTGCACATAACCCGAAACGATCCTGAAGCCTGAGTAAGCTTCAATCTCTGCGGTTTGGGGTGTAGGGTTTGGGATGTAGTTGAGGTCTTCGATTTTAGGGATTAGGGTTGGAGCTTCGGCTTAGGGTGTGTGTTTTCGCTCGTATTAAGGGCTTAGGGTTCATGGTAGGGCTTAAGGCATCGATTTCCCAATTTTCCGCCAATTTCCGTCATACATCAAGCGGCAGGACGGGGTCTCTTCTGTGCGCAATCCTGGCAAAGACCGCGGCCAACTGGGTCTACCAACTGGGCATCTTGGATTACTTGCCTTAAGGCTTCATGTTTCCAGAAAAGTGTGGCCATTCAGTAGATATCACGAGAGAGCAAGAAACTTTTTGATGGAGCTCAATGTAGGTCCACTAGGATGCCCAGTAGTACCCTTATTCCCTTTTTGTAGTCCTAGGTTCCTTATAAAGTTACCCAATACCAAAAAGAGAGGCCTTTTTATTCTTAGGTTACTGGGTAACCTAGTGTAGGTCCATTGGGGCCGGTGTTTTTTGCAACAAGTTCTGCTGGCCTCAAAGACTCTGGAAGCGACGGTTCAGCAAGATATATGTTTGGGAAGCAAGTTACAGCTGTCCAAGAATTATACAGTACAGAAATAGCCTCAGAAGGGAAACTCATATAAATTGGTCAGTACCTGTACCGTGCCAACGTCTTGCTTTAGGCAACTTGAGCACCTCGCAAAAGGCAGGGCTGAAGAAAGGCCCCCATGTGCCTACACACAGCAGATGCTTCGTCCATAAAGGGGCTCCGATAAGGTATCTTCAGAACCAATGTAGATCAATGTTTATAATGCACAGCTACATGGAACCTTATGACAAGTTGACTAGTGACGAGTGGGGCCTGATACTTCGGCTACTTCGGGGACCGCTCGGTGAGGATCCGTTTGACATGACCTGCACCAAGCGGAGATAGAAGATAATTTCGGAACCTGATTGAGAAACCTTGGGCCTTAATTCGGGTTCCTTGTTTGAATCCTACTATTCTGGGGATATAGGCCCAGGGTTTTTTAATCAGGTTCCTACAGTCTACATATAGGTCGTTTTGTTTTTTGAAATTCCAATTGTGGTCGACATGTGTAAATCTTTCTGGGCTCAGGAAAGGGCACCCTGGAAGTTCTGCTCCGCCAACTGCGCAGAATGTACGAACCTCAACACTCGAAAGCTCCAATTCAGCAATTCAACATACCGTTGTATACGCTGACATTTGCATAAAATCTCGGCATAGCCATGAAGCCCCTGCACGCATGTCCCGTTCCCTTTTCAAAGCCTTACGACAGAATGACTAGTCACCCAAGCCGTAACACCTACCCAGACAATCTTGCTGGACGAACGTCTGAACCGATCGGGGGTGTTCTTGCCCGACCATTCTACACGTGCGTTGCCGACATCTTGACCGACAAATATCTGTGCTTCCTGGCTTCGCAGCCACACTTCCCGTCCTGAGTCCGTTCAGTTTCCGATGTTTACAGAACTTGCTCGTCATTCTCATGGTATTGCCTTGGCCTTGGCTTGATGTATTCTCGTAGGGTGCCAGCAAACCGCCTATCTTTCTCTTGTAAAGTTGTTCGTATGATTGTGGCATAGTTTGCTATCGCTTATATAAAATGCCCACCGAAGCGCGTGAGTTACACAATGAACTCTTCAATGCCAAGTCCTTGCCGCGGTGATACATGTGCGAATGGACATGCGCTTGGTTGTGCTTTTGGGGCTGCGGACTGAGAGGGGCGCATGCCAAAGCCTCTGAGCTGCGAGGAGCACAGAAAGTCAGGAGTTCAGGATTTCGAGAATGGTTCTTAAACCTTAATCTGTACAAACTAGGGTTTATAGTAAGTCCCGATAAGTTGGAGTCGCAGCTCCTGAAAACACGTGCTTGTTGGCGCTGCGCACACCCAAGTGAACTCGATCGATGAACGTCTTGCCTCGCCGAATTCATCAGTTGTTAAGCCACCGGTCCACGTCGAAAGTGGCAAAGCTGCTTAACCTGGGGGATCAGGGCTCAAAGCCGGCAGTGTGAACCCTGCAACCGTAACCTGAACCCTAAACTGGGGTTCTGTTTCGGGTTGAAGTGGTCGCAGAGAGAAAACGCAAGTCGAATTTTTCCAGTGGGGCAGAGGCAAAAGTTCAGAGTCTTTGCCCAGCTGTCATTTTCAGAAGCCCTGTATTTCGGGGATGCATTGGGATGCTCAGTTGCCTGAAGCTCACATTTCTTGCAGCTGATCTTCGTCACACGGTTAGTTGCAAAGAAGTAGCAAATAGATGATGTGTGCCTCTTTTCCCTCGGTAGCAGTTGTCACCCAATGACGACCAGCTACACCCTACACCAGCCTTGTGCATAATATAATACATTATTTCGAAATCAGGATCCCTGACTCGGCTAAGCTGGTGGGTTCGTGTGTCGTCTGATGGCCTTCAACCCCCTGGCCCCGAACCGTCGAACCTCACCCCTGAAAGGTACGGACAATTGGGATTCAGCGCAGGCGCTTGCTTCTTGGCAGACGATTCGGCCGCAATCCCGGCACCATCAAGCACAAACGAATCCGATGCCTTGAACCCCACACCCCTGAGTCAGTAGTCCCTGGGTTGTGTTGTTTCCAAAGCTCTCAGGAGATCTGCAGAGTTGGAAATTGGACCGCCGAAGCATTTGCAGCCCTACGGTTCCCGGCGATAAAGTCCCAAAATATGTCTCCGTTGACTACGCGGGATTATGCAGGGATTCGGGTCTAGCTTTTTTCATATACTGACAGCGAGCACTTGCGCCAGAGTTCTCCGATCTGTTCATGGTAGCGCCGATGGTAGCCACAGGGCACATGTGTGGAGAGCGTTTGCACTAAACTATCACCGCCAACTTCCTTGTAGTATTCTAGTTTCAATGCCTTGGCGAATAACTTTCTGGCCAGGACGCACACAGAAACGCACATAGAACCGTCAAACTTCAATCCAGTCCATTGTTCGATTTAGTGCAGCTCATGGCAAGGAATTTCTACCAGCTTTGCGGTCTCTAACTAGACCCTATCCTAAACCTTTATAAACCCTACATACAAACTATAAAACTATCACCTACACTCTTTAGCACCTGGGCTTTAGGGTTTAGGCTTTATGTAAACTTGAAAACCACCTTAATCCCAGGAGCTTATCGCTTCAGCATCCAGTCCTAATACTGGTCCTATACATGTCTAAGTTCTAAGACAGTTCTAAGACCAGAAAGACAACATGGACCCCAACGTGTAAAAGTTCTAAGACCAGAAAGAAAGCATAGACCCCAACGCCATCAATGTAAGTCCAAACCTTGAAGCTTGAGGGTTAGCTTAGTAAATTTTGCGGGCCGGAAATCTCTGCGGACTTCCCACACCCAGGCTGCCTGGGGGTTGAATCGAAAGAATCAGAGTTCCGTGCTATACGCTGTTGGGGCTCGGGGGGTTGGGCTGTTGTCTGGGAGCCGTCCTGAGCCATCTCAGGCTTTGTCCTCCGGCAACATCTTCGTAGCCGGAGAGACCGAGGGGTCCCTGGAGAATGTTCGCTTTGGCCTCTCCGACGTCTTTGCCCCTTGCTCGCCTTGGGTGGGACTTGATTGCGAAAGCTTCGCTAGCCAAAGTTCCACATGACCCCATTCTACTTTTTCAGGCTCCTATCGTTTGTCTTACATAGACCGTTTGGAGCATCCGGGTCTTGGAAAGCATCGACTTCGGGCACAGAAGCCCTAACCTCTGGCGCGCAAGCCGCGATAACTGGCGGGTGCTGAACCCTTATACCAGATCCCTAAACCCTGAGGGCTTAAGACCTTAATTAGACCTGAACCCCTAAATTCTGACAGTTTAAACCGGGGTTCTTTTTCGGCTTCGGGACAGACATCCTGAGGAAGCTCGAGGGAGTGAGGACCGCTTCAGGGGTTTTTAGGATTTCATTAGTTCGTCGGGCTTAGGTGCTTTGGATTTCAGACTTAGAATGTTAGCGGCTGGCGCTTGCGGCTTCAGGGTTTGAACAATTTGAGCTCTGTAGGATTCCGGGAATGCCTTCAAGGATTTGAAAATTTTGAGGGGGCAGAAAGATCGAGGCTCAACGCGGTCCATGGCCCTAGACTTCAGAGTTTAGGGTTTAGGGGCCTGGCTTTGTAAATAATGTAGGGCTCTGTATGAAAAAATGATTATATAGCATGTTCAATGCTGTTTCTTAGGGCCCCTTATTCTCCTTATCATGAACCCCCAAACCCTATTCTAACTAGTCGGTCCCTTGTGGCAGGGCAGTGGAACTCCAGCACGGGGTGCCCGAGAGCATAGGAGACCCAGAAGAGGATGAAGACACTCCGCGAACGACAACTACGATACAAACAGCTTCAGCTGCAAGCGCCTAAACCCAAGCCGTATATCACAGGAAGCCAGAAGGGCATAGGATATGGTAATTAAAGGATTATCTTAGCCTCGGGCTCCAGCTACCTAAGCGGTATATAGGTCAGTAGCCGTATATTTTCTGTACCCCAGTAACCTACTATTAAGCCCCAGGGTTGGGCCGCCGCACGACCTAACGATATCTTAACAGGCCCGTCTTGCCTTGCAATGAGCTTTCACTGTCGTTAAGAGCCTGCCCCATCGAAACGAACCGCTGCAATGTTGAGGTGACAAAGCTGCACCTTGGTCTCGAGAGATGGCGTTCTGTGGGTCTAGTTTTTGTTCTGAGGTGATGAGCCATGTAATCAATAGATGGAGGATCAAATAGTCTGAAGTGTCTGCTAGGTAACTGCATGAGTTGTACGTATGTATTTGCTATATTTTTCATGACATGCATCTGGTTGTTTGGCTTGCAGTGTGCAGAAACATTGTAGGGCCGTTTAGGGTTGTTTAAGCTTCCGATGCAGGGCCGTTTGGGTTTGCACAGGAACTTGGTCATGTGCCGCATCAGCTATTCATGCCCGTACATCATGTTAGGATAGCGGGTCGGTATGGAGTTGAGGTCGAGGTAGACCCACATATATCACAGTCTGAAGTCTTGAGATTTGACGGTTGTGGCTTCGGGTCTGCTTGTTGATTCGGGAAGTGGCTCCTAAACCCAAGGTAAGCTTGTTCGCTCGATGGCGCAGGGGTCCTCGCCCTAGCCACCACATTTTACGGAAAATTAGCCCTAAACCCCTAAACCCCTAAACCCTAAACCCCTAAACCCTAAACCCTAGAAACCTGGTTGCCCCCCAAAGTCGAAAACTCTGAGCCATGTCCCTAAGGGTCCAAGTACATAATGGTCATATACTCTCCAAAATACTAGCCTGCATACCTACGATCCTAGACCCGAGTACCTAATCATTGGGTCCTTTGGACCCTTAGGGTGTTCCATGCTCTGCCCTACAGCATGCCTCTGAGGCCCGATACCTACCTTAAGCCGGAATAACCTACCTTTTTGAGGACATATATAAGGAAATCATACTAAGGAACCTTAAAAAGGTAGGTTAGTCAGGGTTAAGGTAAAGCCATCAACCATAGAGGACGAATCCTAAGAAAGTGGCCTTCATAATTACCAATACTAGTTCAGGGGTTCCTTGTTATAACTATAGTATAATGGGACCCCCCAAAACCCTATTCTAATTATTGAGGCCCCTATACTTGCACCGGAAGACCCAAACCCCAACAGCCAGCCGAGCCCTAAACCCCCAAGAAATGTTCTGGCTGCAACGCCTTGTTTCACACAAAGACAGGGTTTCCAAAGGTTTATCGATGCAGGATTTTGAGGGTTTTGAGCTCGTGTGAAAAGCCTCTAGATTAAGTTGGGCAGTGGTGTTCGGGCTAGTTGCAGGTTACGATGGCATTGGGATTTGGTGTTGCAGAAAACCAAGGACCCTAAAAGTCGAAGAATCTCTGTCCACCCAGATCATGTCTGGACGTTACCTGTAGTCTCCATTGTAGTTCCTTTGTTTTGGTTAACCAATTTTATGGTTAGGACCCTATAATAGAGATTTTGGTTAACCAAAAAAAGGAACTACAATGGAGACTATAGGTAATCAATTACAACCATCTGTAACCTCTACCAGGCCTAAGTTCGGTGAAGCCCATGAATGCCAGTGTAGTGGGGGACCTTCCTACAAAGCCTCCGATAAAACTTTGAAGAGACACAAAGCCTGTTTACCCAATTTCAACCCTCAAAGCCTCGAAGATCCCCAAAGCCTGTTTACGCAAAGCTGAATCCTAAAACTCCAAAAGAATCAACCCTAAACCCAGTTTCGAAGCCTAAACCTCCATAAGAATCATTAAAACTGTGAAGAGCCACAAAACCTATTTACCCAATTTCAACCCCAACATTTGAAACCTTAAACTCTAAACCCTGAACCCAAAATTAAGTCCTAAAACTCCAAAAGAATCAACCCAGGAATGCAACAGGCGATCCGATGTGGATACGGCAGCGAGGCTCTATTGGCCAAGACCGCGTGCGTGACTTGCCAGAGGATTTTTGGGGTGCAGTTTGTTTGTGAGTCTTAGGCTTTGGCATTAAACTTTTAGGGTTTGGGGTGCAGTTTTTTGGAGGAGTTTTAGGCTTTGGCACTCATTTTTTAGGGTTTGGGTGTAGTTTTGGGGAGTTTTCGGCTTCGGCATTCAAATTTTCTGGTTTGCGAGCTATAGGGTTTGAGGATTCAGGTGCATACAGATTATCTCGACCGTTCATACAAGGAGACGAGTCTTTTGCATAATTTTTCGTTGTTTAAAAATGCGACCTGCTCCAGATGACTAAGAATCTAGCAAGGTGAATAATTGCGGCGCGTCAGGTTTCATCTTGTGGTGTCCGTGGTGGCGAATCTGATACACAGTGTTATCTTATGGCTCAGAAAACACACAGCCACTGCACGAGCAGTAGATAGGATAACATGTCTTTGTGAGCCTGTCAGTGCTCGTGAGATCAATAACAGGCGTTATGAGCGCGATGACGTTGCCCAGGCACTCATACAAAACAACACCGTGTCCAGGTATAGGCGTCCGAAGCCCTGAAGACATCGACAAATGCAAGCACGGCCTAAAGCTTTGGAACCCTCAAATCCGAAAAGAAAAAGAGGTCGAAGTCCCCCTAAAATCCTGGAACCTGGAACTCCCCCAAACCCTAAAAACCCAGAAACTTGCTAAACCGTGAAAACCCTGAGATCCTAAGGCCCTAAAACCCTGAAGCCCTAAGACCCTCTGGCTTGGATCTTGGATGTTGTTGTGAGAGCTTCTCTCCCCTCATCGCTCGAGCTTGCTCCTCCTTCAGGCGACATCAGAGTGACCGCGTCCGGAGATGCCTGTGTCTTAGAGATGTGCTGCTTAGAAGAAGTCCGAGACAGGATGTAGAGATGCCCTTACTGCCGGCATGCCCATGTTTTCTTAACAGTTTGCAGGCCTCAGTGCAGGTGACGAGCAGCATACAAAAACAAAGTCCGGTCCCGCCAGGCCCTTTATACGAGGGGTTTAGGGTTAAGGGGTGTGTCACAGTGCCACGGCGCGCCCCACCCATGGAGTGGTCGTGGGTCGCGCCGTCTTCGTAACGTGGAACCCACCCACAACCACCCGAAGCAGGACTAGAACGGGTTTTGTGTTCTGCTTCTTCTTATTCGAGCGCTGCACTAGCCGAAAAGACGTTGCAATGTTGCGGAACGTCAAAGGGACATCCGAGTGATGTAGTCACAAAATAGCAGCGACGCCCTCGCTCGTCCTCGCCGGCCGCCAGAGTCGTCCGTCAGCCGTCGTCAGAGTCGTCCGTCAGGGCCCAGTGCCAGGCCTCCAGAAGTGGTCTGCAGCCGTCCGCTGTCCGTGCCAGTCCGGCCAAGAGTGCTGATCATCCAGTCGGCCGCCAGGGTTTTTTCGCCCGGCAGTCCGTGCCAGAATTGTCCAGCTTTGCCGCCAGACTCGCACTCCAAGCTCCTTGCCAGAGTCGGCCACTGTCCCCAAGCTCTTTCTAGGACGTCCCGTCCCCGTCAAACTATAGTCGTCAGCCGCCAGAGACGTGAAACAGACATTTCCGCCTGGCCACGGCACTGTGACACACCCTGTATAGTGACGGAGCTAAGTCGCATCATGCTTGTTGGATCCCAGCCCACCTTGCGGGGAAGCACCCGGGGGGGGGGGGTCGCATCACCGGGCGTCTACTTGGGGATACGTGATTATGTTGATTCGGGAATATTGAGAATTGAGTGCTGAAGCTGAATTTACAGCAATTTACTTGCAGATTCGTTCTCTCTGTGTTACTTGGTGCTTGCTGCGTGCTTGCAAAATCGAGCGCCTACATGGGGAACGGCTGGTTTTTGTTTGCTGTTTGATTCGATGTCGCTGATGTATTTCTGGAGCGGGCGCTTGCTAAAGCGAGCGTCTACATAGGGAATGGCTGGTTTTGATGTGCTGTCCGCTGCGATGCCACTGATGTGTTTCTGGAGCGGGTGCTTGCAAAATCGAGCGTCTACATGAGCAACGGCTGGTTTTCATGGGCTGATTGCTGCAAAGCTCTTTTTGGAGGAACTGGGTCCCCGCAGGGTCACCCCGCTGTCCCCGCCAGGGTCGCTTGGTTACGCCGTCCTTGCCAGGGTCGTCCGCCGTCCCCGCCACGACCGCCCGCCGTCCCCGCCAGGGTCGTCCGCCGTCCTCCAGAATCGTCTGCCAAGCTGTTTTTGGCCTTTTTAGTTGCTGTCAAAGCCAAGTGCCCGCCAGAGTGTCCGCCGTCCCCGTTAGGGTTGCCCGCCGTCCCCGCCAGGGTCGTCCGTCTGCCAAACTGTTTTTGGCCTTTTCGTGCCTGTCAAATTTTAAAGTCATCGCCAAGTCCCCCAGAGTTGTCCGCCGTCCCCGCACGGTCCCCTCCAGAGTCGTCTGCCAGGCTGTTTTTGGCTTTTTCAGTCCCTGTCAGAGTCGCCAAGTCCCCGCCAGAGTCGTCCGCCGTCCCCGCCAGGGTCGCCCGCCGTCCCCGCCAGGGTCGTCCGCCGTCTGCCAAGCTGTTTTTGGCCTTTTTAGTTGCTGTCACAGCAGAGTCGTCCGCCGTCCCCGCCGGGGTTGCCCGCCGTCCCCGCCAGGGTCGCGAGCCGTCCCTGCCAAAGTCGTCCGTCCACCAAGTCCCGGCCAGGGTCGTCAGCCGTCCCTGCCAGGGGCTCGCCATCCCCGCCAGAGTCGCTCGTCAAGCTCTTTCTACCAGGTCCCGTCCCCGCGCGCCATCCCCTCCAGAGTCGTCTGCCAAGCTGTTTCTGGCTTTTTCAGTCCCTGTCAGAGTCGCCAAGTCCCCGCCAGAGTCGTCGCCGTCCCCGCCAGGGTCGCCTCGCCGTCCCCCTCCAGAGTCGTCTGCCAAGCTGTTTTTGGCCCTTTTGCTGTCACAGCAGAGTCGTCCGCCGTCCCCGCCAGGGTTGCCCGCTGTCCCCGCCAGGGTCGCGCGCCGTCCCCGCCAAAGTCGTCCGTCCACCAAGTCCCCGCCAGGGTCGTCAGCCGTCCCCGCCAAAGTCGCCCGCCATACCCGGCAGGGTCGCTCGTCAAGCTCTTTCCACCAGGTCCCGTCCCCGCCAGGGTTCTCGCGCTGGGAGATAAGGGTACCCAATTTTACTATTGTGCCCCATGGCTAGCAGTGCCAAATCAGGTCTGGTAGACTCGATCTGCTTGGCCAAGCAAGCAGATCTCGAAGCGGTAGCGTTCAGTGGTACCGGCCGCCGCCGGGTGCGGGCGGCCAATGGTTTAGGGCGTTTAGGGTTTAGGAGCATGCTCGCTGGTGCTTAAAGCTTTACATGCAGAATTAAACTCATAGGCCCTGCTGCATACTACTCCAACTAAGCCCTATAATTACCTTCAGCCCTAAGCCCCCTTAGCACTCCGAGGTCGTCGTTGTCGGGTTTACGGAGGCATCTTTGGACGGTTTTCCGTGGGCCGGGGGCCACGATATCTATGTGATGCCGCTGGGACGCTGGGAGTTTAGGGTTCAGGGTTTACGGACATGACTGGCTTGTTAGGGCTGCGGCCACGTGTCAGTCAAAGGAAGGTTGTAAGTCGAGTTATATTGCACAAGTGCGGGACACTGGAGTCTCTGGAGACACGGATGTTTTGGCTAAGGACCTTCAGTAGCGATGGAGCTTGGCAATGGACGACCCAGCGAGGGACGTTCTACGAGGACTCTATGTGCGTGGCATGGCCATCAACGGACGTGAGACGGCTGGCTCTGCAATCTTCATATGCTCGACAATTACCCTACGACTCCAAGTATACAACTGGTACCTACCTCTGGGTCTGAGTTTTGTCAGAAGTATGTACCTATGTTGGTGTTGTAGCAGTTTCGGAGTCCCCGCAAAATCTGTGTATCAGTCTCCGACCGAAAGTTTTTCAGCACAAGAGCCACGACCCAGACTGCATGACCTATAGTCTCCATTGTAGTTCCTTTTTTGGTTTAACCAATTCTATATTGGGGATCCTAAAAGGTAACCCCAAAAAGGAACTACAGTGGAGACTTTTGGTACAGTGCATGTTGCATCATAGCCTCGAGCACCTTTACAACCCTTGGAATCACATTTCTGGTTGAGGGCTAGATCTTTATTCCTAATCCCCACAATTAAGGGCATCCTCTGCTGGGGTAGAAGCCCTCATGACTTAAAGCACTATTGGTAAATCCTATACAAAGCCTAAAGCCATAAAGCCCTATTGGCTCTAAACCAGGACCATGCGACGGTGGTCCAGCAGACCGACTCAGGCGACATCGTGGCCGCATGTCATCAATACTTCAGTAGGGGCGTGCAGGGTTTCGGAAATAGGGTTTGGGGTCAACTTGTTTTTGTTCTGGGTTCGCTGGCACCCTCAACCCTGAACCCTTACATCCAGCACTCTAGCCCCGAAACCCTAGAGGCCGGAACCGGAGCTGAAATATGTAAGGTTGTGTTTGATTTATCTTGTCATTGTCGCTACCTAGGTGTTCGTCTATGTCCTATGTGTTCGTCTATGTTTTGCGTTGAAGCTGTTCGACTGTGTGCTTGCTCAGTTGTTGATCTCTGCATTGATTGTTCCTTTTCTGAGTGACTTTGGGATCAGAGTCGTAGCTTTACCCAGAGTACCTAGTGTACCTTAAAGAAACGGATATGACCCTGGAAAATTGGCACGCTTGCCTTTTGTTAGGTACCTGGTCACTCAGCTAGACGCAGGGTGTGCTGGGGCAAGGTTTGAGATTGCAACGGGTCTTCTCTTACCTTCGGTTAGTAGGGAATGGAAGAATGGTAGTAACAGTAGTTATAATTGTACCCCATTCCTCCATTCCCTACTAACCAAATCTGGCAAAACTTGTGCACGTAGGCAAGCAGGAGTCATCATTGCGGTGTGGCACAAACGCAAAGGCCCAAAGGGTCCCAGGTCCTAGGTACTGCTATGAGGGATACTTCCCCAATTAAAAAATTTAGTAATTCCTAATATGCAGGCCCTACATTCTACTACATAGGTACTTTGGACCCTTTGAGAAAGGCATGCTTGATGGGTTGATAGAAAAATTCTTGCCTAACGTAGGCACCCGGCTTTATGGGAGTTATGGTATGACTATGGAGACGTAGAGCATGAAAATGGTCAAAGGCCCCTACCATGCAGCCGTAAACTATCTGAGCTATTGAATGTGGTGTGCCCCTCAATGCGGATAGTGCAGATTTATCTCCATCACCAGACTGTGGGCGTGGTGGCGTTGTTCTTCGAAGATGATCAATCAGAGCCTCTCAAGGTTCCTCAAGTTTGCACGTATTGCAATCACAACTGCCATTGCAGGTCATGCCTCTTGCATGATAGAAGTCCAAACGTCCCCCACAGAAACAATCCTAAACCCGAAACTTAGGGGTACTTAGAAATACAGCCAAATTTTTGGTTATTGTATTACCTAAGAAACAGCTAAAATTCTAATTTTTGCTAGGGTTCTAAGTTCTGTATAGGAAACCCCGAGTAGCACTATACAGTAGAAGCCAGAATGTTGGAATATCATTATCGTAACCCCTTTAAGGTAAATTATAGGGGATCCTACCATTAGTCCATATTCCAACTTTCTGGAGTTCCCTTTACTCGACAAGCCGAACATAGCCGAGCGAGGTCGCTGGTGACACCAGAGGTCCCCTCGACGGCAATACCAACGCCGGCTGCTCGCCGACCTGGAAAAGGGTTTAGGGGTTTAGGGTTTAGGGGTTTAGGATTTCGGGTTTAGGGTTTTAGGGTTTAGGGTTTAGGGTTTTAGGGTTTAGGGTTTAGGGTTTTCCTATGACGAGTCACTCTTACGGGCAGTTATCGATGAATTCCCGAACTCTGATCCGCACCCGGCAGGAGCTATCAGCTATCAGGGAATCTCCCGACGTGGGTGCATTACCCCTCTTTCTGCAGGGTCTGGTTGAGAATGATACATATCTCAGAGGGACATGTGGAACCTCGGATCAGCAGATCAGGATATTCCGACATCTTCCTGATGAAGTTCACTCGGGCAGGAGATGCGATGCCCTAAATCCATGTCAGTGAGGGTTTCAGGATGAACCGCTGTGCTTGAAAACTACAATTATTAAGCCGGAATAACTACAAATCGTATTCCTCAGGATGCTTTGCTATGACTGTTATTATTATAGAGTTGTCTAAACTGGAATACCCCCCCCCCCCCCCCCCCCCCGAACCCTAATTGGTGTACTTTGTCCGGCCCTCCGGCTCTGCAGAGATCCCATTTAAGAAAGCTCCGGGAGGCCATTGCCGAAGGGAAAAACTCAAAAGCTATGAGGCCCACGAGCTTGTACCTGGGTTTAGGGTTTAGGGGTTTAGGGTTTAGAGGTTTTAGGGTTTAGGTGCTTAGGGTTTTAAGGGCTTTAAGGGTTTAGGGTTTAGGGTAGCTTTTAGAGCTGCATACTGTGGTGCTGCCAGGAGTCGTTATCGTAGTGTCATTAGAATGAAATCTCCAAGGGATCCTGAAGGATACTACTTTTCATTTTGGGTTTCAGGACCTCGAGGAAACAGCTCAGAACGAGCGCTTCTAAAACCCTGACAAAGGTCCCTGACTCACCATGGCCTTGAACCCTAGAAGTTACACCATAAGCAAGCTCCCCGAAACCCTAAGCTTAAACCCTGAACCCTAAACCCAAGCCCACTAAGAAAACACACCGCCCTGGAGGAGAGTGGCTCTGGACTCGCCAGAGAGGCTCTTCTTCCGTAGACGTCGTGGCGGCCATGCAGCTGTCAGCGCCTTCGGCAGCGCTACCGGTTCAGTTGTAATTTCTCTGTTTAACGGAGGCTGAGCACAGGTCTCTTTTGTATGTATTAAGGTAGTATGCTGTTTATGTGATGTCTAGAGTTTGTTGCTAGGTACTCTCCGGAACCCGAAACCCTGAGACGGTCTCACAGCTCATGCTTGGCACACCAGGGCGACAGCTTCGTTGTGGCTGGCCACACGGACACTCGGAAATCAGAGCCCTATTAGCCCTAAACCCAAAACCCTAAACCTTGGACCCTAAACCCTAAACCTTAGACCCTAAACCCTAAATCTGAGCAGGGCTTTCCTTTTCAGAGGTCGCTTCCGAAAGCCCGCAGCCCCAGAGTCGGCCCTAAACCCTCTAACCTCTAGCCCAACCCCAGAGAACCCAATACCCCTCAATTAAGGAATATAGCTTAAATCAGAATATGAAGCCCTATATATAAGTTAAGCCATGTTCCTTACTTAAGGGGTATTGGGCTCTCTGGGACCATGTTTTTTTAAATATATGGGCTTAAATAAGAACCAGTACTATTTTGGGGGGTCCTTATCAAAAGTATAAATAGTATAATGATAATGGGCCCCAAAACCCTATTCTAACTATTAAGGCCCCTATATTACACCCTAAACCCTGCAGGCAGTGCATCAAGGCAGACAAATGAACCGGTGGGTGGAGCATGAGAGACACATGCACTAGATGTGCGGCACGTCATACGGTGGCCAATGCTACTTGTGACTATGGCCGCGGCAGCATGCAGCCCCTACAAACCTGAACCACAAAACGTAGGCCCCTAGGGCCGCAAACCCACAAGCACCTGAGTCCCGAAAGCCTTAATAAAACCCTTAAACGCAAACCCTAATCCCGAAACCCAAACCCTGAACCCCAAATCCCGAATCCCTATAAAAATCCCTCAGCTTCATCGGCATACTGCAGGGGCCTAAATAATTACCTCTGGTGTTTTGGGTGTTCCTTGTTATAACTATAGTATATTATACCTATAGTCTCCATTGTAGTTCCTTTGTTTGGTTAACCAAAATCTCCATTATAGGGTCCTAACCATAAAATTGGTTAACCAAAAAAAGGAACTACAATGGAGACTACAGGTACCCCCCAAACCCTATTCTAACTGTTAAGGCCCCTAAAAATTGCTGAAATTGCTGAGGATGGCGACCTCGATGGCCACACCAATGCTGGCTCCGATGACCTGTTCGTGATGTGCTTCGGATGGACGTAGGGTTTAGGTTACAAGCTGCCCCCACCCTGTAATAGTGGTATAATAGGAATATAATAGGGCCCTAATATAATCCTATAATAATCCTTATGGTCACTATATTACAGGGTGGAGGCAGCTTCTAAGGTTTAGGGCTTAGGATGTAAGGCTCAAGGTTCAGGGTTTGAATTTTGAGGTTTAGGGCTCTGTGTTTAATGTTTAGGGCTTAGGATTTAGGGCTCAAGGTTTAGGGTTTCAGGTCGAGGGTTCAGTGTTCAGCGTTTAGGGTTTAAGGTTTAGGTTCAGGGTTCAGGGTCGGATGGATTTAGCATCCGCGAGGGTTTAGGGTTTAGGGGGATCCAAAACCCTAAAGCCTATGCCCCAAATGATGAACCCCAAACCCCTATGGGCCTCACCCAGTATTTGGATTCTAAGACGGGTCCCTTATTGAAATGTCCCATTCCCGAAACGGAACATCTCAACGCTATGGACCCTAAACTAAACAGTAAGCCCGCCAGGCCGAGTAAGTCGAAGTAACTAGGCCGTGTTCTCACATTACCCTAAACCCTAAACCCTAAACCCTCAAGCCCAGGATAAATAGAAATTGTTTAACAAACGAAACGTACTGCTGGATGGTACTGCTGACTTTTGGTGGGTTTTTCTGAACAAGCACCGGGCGCA